GCCATTATTCAAAGCCCATCGGAAACGGCGTAGAAACGAAACGCACATTGACCGATCTAGCAATAACGGATATGCGAGTCCCAGCGAGGTAACGCGGCGATCAAGAGGAAAACCAATTAACGATAAATCCCGTTGCTGGATATTTTTCCGATAGACCGCAAAAATTTCTTCCCCTGCTATTTCTGTTTTCTCAGACTGATGCGAATGTTTCCCATAAATATCGAGCGATAAAACATCTAGGCTTCTATCTCATATGAACGTAGGAACACAGTATTTTTGATATCCAATAATTATTATCAGACTACGGATTTTATGCATTCATGCGAAAATTGTATGTACAGGAAATAAAAAAATTCATTGAATATCTAAGGACACACAGGATTTTAAAGGTGAAATGTATGTTAGGAACAAAGAATTCCACACAAAAGGAATTCCTATTTAGATTTCATTTTCTGCACTGACACTACAAATGGTTTATTCTGCATAATTAATATATATTGAAATAATTAATATATTATTAATTATTATATTACTGAATGTATATATGTATAAGGAATCGATCATAAAAATAAAATGCTAACTGGTAAAAATAGCAACCTCTTACTCGCATTCCCGTATAACGAAGAGTACTCTTTCCAAGTTATTTTTAATATCGATCCCCGCAGTGTTTAAGAACCGTCGTACACACACGACGACAGCGTACTATTAATGGTCATGTTGATTAAGGAGATTAGCCAGGCGCCGAGGTTTTTGCACCGCGTTCCGTGTTTTCGAGCAATAAAAATGCATCGGTCACGGATAGATGATAATTGCCTACTGGTCAAAGTTACACTTGATCGTTCCGGGCGAGAAGTTTTGCCGTGAAATATTGGAGATCGCGACAACTTTTCTTCGCCGAGTTCTCCCGGATCCATTCGATCAACGTTGAACGCCTCGATTACACGCGCGGAGTAAATACAACGTCACGCGACTACGGAAATTGATAGAAGACTCTCGTTCTTTGAAAGAAGCGCATTGTGACACGTGTCGACGTATGTTTGTATGTTTCCTCGGTGTACATAGAGTGTGACATCTGCATATTTGATCAGTCTCTAATAATTTGATGTAAAGAACATTATAGATTAAAGTGTCCGTAAGATGGCTTTGTGAAAGTGAACCAGCGAGCTTTGGTCCTCGAACAGCGTTTATCTAAAATTGTCAAAGAAAGTAGTAGCTCAAAAGAAGAGATCGACTTCTGGCGAGTAATCCCACCGTTATTCATAGCCACGGCGGGCACGGCGTTACCGAACTTCCTTAACCGGGATTACCGGAAGCAGCAGTAAACCCGTCCGCTTCCTTTCACCCTCCTCGAATCGCTGAGAAAAAACTTCTTAACTATTCAACTGGTTTTCCTCTTTCGACTTCTTTCACTTAGCCCAGTAGCTCTACACGATTTTCAAGTTCCTTTTAGTATGTCTTTTCAATATGTTTAGAAATTTGCACGTTGCGCGACGTTTTCAAGAACCGATCATCCGATTCAACGTAAATACGAACGCGTTTGTATTAATCTTCTCTTAAAAATCGATACTCGTCACGAAATAAAAACTCGATGCAGAATATGAAAAAAAAAAAAAAAAAAAAAACAAAAATAGGCAGACCGCCGATTGTCCCAGATGCGGGCGAGCGGAAAACAATGAATAATCGGAGCAGCGTGGAAACCACCGAAACCCGATAATTGTTATGCATTCGCTCGATAATTAGCATTCTGTCGTGACCGCCGACTGATAATCTCCCGATGAAAAATACGTGCAGCCTCTGGTTTTTATCGACGAACCAGAAGTGAAACGCATAATTAATTCGTCGTCATATACTGATCGTCCGAGGCCGTGGCAGAGGCAATCGTGATAATTCTTGATCGCAATTATAATAAACGAAATACATTTATATTTTCCGAAAACGATGACAAGGAAATGGATGAAGCTGATCTTAAGCGGTCATTCGCCGTCGCAATCATGTTCTTAAAATGAAATATGACCCGATTTTATTTTTGCAAAAGTTGCATCAAGATATCTCGCGAGCACCAGACGCGATAATCGCCGTCGTGGCCTTACCGTGGGAGGTTAACCTATGCTAAGGGCGCTTTTTCATCGTCGACGACTCAGCGTGTTTGAAGACGACGCCTCGAGAGGAAGGATGATACCATTCTTCACATTTAAGAGGATCAGGCTGCTTATGATTGCCGAGACGCTGCCCCCCGTTTCCCGCCTGCCGAGCGAATTCTTTTCGGCCGGGGCCAGCCATCCAGCCACGCGAAGAGACAATTTAATTGTCCTTCAGAATTATTGGCTCGAGGCAGTTTATGATCGTCGTTCGCGTTTCCAATTTGCTCAAGTGCGTCTACAGTTTTTGATTTAATTCGACGTTTTAACGACCAGACTGATCCTGTTAATTAAAATATTCTGAAAAGGTCTCGTGCATTTTACAATATTCCATATGACCATTATGAAAACTCCTATGAATCCAGACTCGATGTTTTTTCAACGGTATTGAAACACATTCACCTTTGATTGAAATGCATTGTGTCTCACGATTGAAAAATAACAATGTTTTTAATATTGGGAATATTGTATAGGTTCAATCGAAAGAAAATCGAATTAACTTGTGAAAATAATGAAAACTCGGGAGAGATATAAATCTCCATGCTCCGCGTACAGAAGAGACAAAGTGAGGTAAAATAGATTCGATTTTTCCTGCCGTATCGAACTAAAGCTATCTTGCTGAACACACAGACAACATCGAATGTGTATCTCCGGAATGCATCAAAATCGACCGTGATTCTGTTTACGTTGAAACGGCAAATGTAGTAGTACTCTCGATGCAACGTCTTGCCCTCGCCATTAGATTAAAAATGTATTTGCTTTCCATTTAGAGTAACGACCACCGTTCATGGTTAAGCTTTGACGGTATTCGCATAATTTATCCCACTCGAGGGCAATGGAAATCCTAATCATTCTTTACCTAATTCCTTTGAAATGGAAGATCGTTATTTTTTTCTAAAACGAGTCGACCTTCGAGATAATTTAAGGTCTGAGTTTATCAGAGTCGAAAGTCAGATAAGAATGCAGAGTCAGACAGGAATTCGTACAAATTACACCCAAAGGAATCCTTTCATGAAAACGAATTTCTTTCAACGTCTGACGAAGTTGGGACAGTCATTAACCGAGGTCGCCCTTTAATGACGACGGGGGCACTTAAAAACTAATTTGCCTGGCGAAAAAGGAAACGGAACGTTGACCAGCGTCGGAACACGTTGCGCTCGGCGTTAATTAGAAACGTTGGAACGTCAGTCAGTCAGTCAGTCAGTCAATCGGCAGAGCGAAAAGAGGGGGAGAAAAAAAGGAACGGTTCCAGTCGGGAAAAGATCAAAGGATCCGAATCGCGAGATTCCACGAACCACGTATCTATTACTTGTTTGCCCTCTGATTAGTCCTGGGAAATGTAACTCCGGGTGCCTCGACTAATTGCGTGGGCGGTGTTTTTAACGTTCGCCCGATCGACTGTACTTCTAAATAAGGACACGAGTGCAGCAAAATCCTTCACGAACCGAACGTTAGATCAGACGTTTCGTCAGATCGACCGGACGAGGCGCGTTCCGAAATAAAATTGCGAAGCAGAATTTAATTCCTTTTCGCGAGATGATCCGACCGATTCAATTTTACCGGACGATTCGTTGCTCAGTGCATGGCCTAGAAAGGATCAGCCGAACAGTCTGAAGCGTGTGTACGATAACGCGTATCTGTTCGACTACGTGTGACCCTTCGCGATATGCGATTCGGCGCGCATCGGCACGTGTCCATTGTTTAGAAACACGCACACCCGCAAGCGGGATTATCACCGACGACGAGGAGAAGGTTCAACAACCGTGCGGTTTCGAGAAATTTGATGGATCCAGGCTTAATGAGATACCATGGGAAGAATCTTTGTTCGCTTAATTACACGCGTTACCGCCGTCGGATACGTTTAAGCACGGTTAAAAACAAAAACGCGGCACATGAAAATGTGAAATATATCAGATTTCTTAATCTGTCGAAAATATAAAAGCAGGAACGTATCATGTTTGTCAGATAAAAACATTTTCATCCGAATTGAATTCGAATGATTGTCTCATTTTACTATTGTGTTTAATTCAAGAATAATTACCTCAAAAAGTATTGTATCAATCGTTTCATGAAATTCACAATGATTCCGCATGAATTTCGATATGGATAAGAGGCTTGTCATTACATATTCACATCGATATGTAACTTTACGATTGACGGACGTCAAAAAAATTGCAAACCTATCAACAATTTCTAACATGTACACTGTGTCCCAAAAAACGTGTATACACGCTTATTAAATAATGTTTGTAGATTCTATTACGTTTACATCAGACGTTACGATTATTTAAAATTTGTGTACATTTTTCGGGACACCCTGTATATGCATAGAATAGTTTTGTAGTGACACTGACAATATTAATTGTAATGAACAATTGTTTTCTTAATTGTTCGATGAGAGACAAACTATACGACGCGAACATACGGTTTGAAGCTCGAATGAAATGAAGTCCGAGCAAAGCTCGTTAATGCACCGAAATGCTCTCGCATACGCACCTGAATGCGTCAGTTCGATCAGATTATTATCGTTTCGGAACACGTGCACGCGAACGATAGGATTGAGATTAGCATCGTCATCAAAGCAACCGTATGCGCAGGGCGAATTTCTGAAACGCCATTATACCGATTGAATTGTCCTGTAAATCTTTACCTTTCATTCGTCAACTATCACTCTATTTAATTAAAGGATTTTTGTACGTTCAATGATTTTTATATATTAGCTAGTCCATTGTTTTAATTTTACGTACAGGCCTTATGCGCTTTGATAATAATTGACCATGTCTAATGCCCCGCTTTCGGCTTATGTAACGCGATATCTGAAAGTAAAAAAGAATGCAACTAATCTGAAACAGTGAAACTTACGTTGGCCGTGGGAACGTCCTCGGTTCAAAGCTTCCGATCCGCTTAGATGATCGACTTCCGTGCACTATTCATCAGCTCTCGTTTTCTGCACGGCAAGAAAACAATCTCTCACGCCGAGTAACCGTGAAAGTTTCGTGAATTCAGCCAGAAAACTGTCGCTATCGCGCGGATGCTCACGCTTCGCCGGTTCTGCAAACAAAACGACGAGACACTTAAACGACGCCTCGTGAAATCCCATTGTATACAAGAAATTACAGTGTTGCATAATGCGGCGTGAAATCAGAATTCGAATTATGAGGCAAATGGAAGATAAGTTCTCGTTTACCGTAGCCAAGTAGTGTAGGTCAGTAACTGGTCGGACGTTCGAGTACGCGTGATTTCAAAAATCGTAGACCGATTCCAGGAATATTTTTCAACATGAAAATTGCCAACGCGATTGCATACAATTATTTATGTCGCCGGAGGAAAATGTTCAATCGCATCGGAAGTTGCAATTTCCTTAGACGTCGCTGGAGGACACGTTAAAGGTTCTACCTTATTTCAGTTCTCTCCGACTTACTCGCGCGGCTATATAAGCGCGGGCGTACAACTTTATTTCACGTTTCAAAGCCAGAACGCAACGCGGCCTCGTCGGTAATTATAACAGACGTGGCGCGCACGCGAAACGCGGGGCTCACGCGATTCTGTTCATAAAGAAAACGCGTCGCGAGGAAAGGGGAACCAATTGTGAAAAAGCTGAAGGCGAGCAAAAGAGATTCCATAATGAAGGAAAAAGAGACAGAGAGAGAGAGAAAGAGAGCGAAGAGGAAAGAAATTGAATTTCTCTTATCGAGCCGTTCGTATGATGTAACGAAGACAAAAAAGTAAATGTGAAGAGGGCGAGGGGTGGAGGTTTACGGTGGCAAAGGGAAAGAAGGCGGAGATAATAATTACGGTCGCGTCAGTTCTCGCGATCTCTGATAAGGAGGGCAAAAGTTACTGCACAGTTCAAGTAACAATTCTATTAGCGAGATAATTGCGAAGTTTCATCGAGCCAAAGTATATCGTGTTTTCTCATCACGAACGTATTCATTATTTTAAGGACACGTGCGATCTAATAATCGTAATATTTCGTGAAACGGCGGTTTCTCTGCTCCTCGAGTTTCGCGAATCGTTCATCGATCGTAATTCGTAGAACAACGTTTCGACCAAATAATTCTGAAATCCTCATTACTCCACAGAAGTAATTACGTTAACTTGAACAGAGGACCTCTCCAAAGTATCCGCTGAACCGTATCAAAGGATTACGGTTTTTCTGCTAAACGACAAGAGCCGAGATGGAAATTTAAACGCGCACGCGGGGCTTCGAGCGACACGGATGAAACGTTCAAAGGCGAGGAGGGGGCGAAGGGAGAGATAGGACGTACGGTCGTGGTGAACATTGCGACTTGCGAAGAGCAGAAGCAACCCGTAACGCGGCTGACCGTGAAATATGCAGGATAAAATCCCGTCGCTGCCGGCTTAACGACACCAGACGTTTCCCGGTGGTCGCAGAATCTTCGCCCGTCGTGGAAAAACCGGGAAAATGTTTTCCGCCGGGCGTACGGGGACAATGCTTTGAGAACTTCGGTTAACTGAAAGTTTCTCACCGATTCGTCTGTGAGAAACTGATCTCTTAATTGTAACTTTTATTTCTGCCACTTGCGCGCATTTATCGCTTCAATTCCTCTTTGCTCGCAAAGATATAATGTAACGCATTGTAAAAATTTATCATGATTAATCTCCTGGGAATTACACGAATGATCCTGCCGGATGATCGATAAATTCGGTTGTTGCACTCTCTCAGATCAACCCGAATGAGTCGCCAAGTGACTCGGTCGGTCCATTGACCGAAGCTCTTGATTCATGAGCATTCACGAGTTCGGATGATGGACGAGGCGTAATTATACTCGGTAGTGCGTCTGTTTGAAGATTTAAAAGTTTCTGATACAAAAGGGCGACGTAATTAATTAATGTTGCAGGAGGTGCAGCGCGCTATGAATACATAAGTCTATGTATTATAAGTAGGATGTTTACTTCGCGAGCAGAGTGATGTCACATCTTTGCAGCCTCATTAATTATAGCTAATACTCAGCTCATTAATCTTTCCACACCTCGCTAATTAACGTTACTGATTTATTCATAATGGAAAAAATGCTCGTTCATTTAAGGAGCTTAAACGATGCACTAAAGTGTAATTTAATATCATAAAACTGAGGCGTGGAAGTAACGATGTAAATCGTAATCCGGAACACGGCAAGGAAATTTCCGTGTCAAAGGGGTGTCGAGGGAACTTCGACAGCTGCAGTGAAAGTACCGCGACTCGAGAGATTCTTGTTTGCTCGTGAGCTTCGGCAAGACCGTTCGCGGTCATCCACAACAGAGAACGAAAACTCGGCAAAGAGTGCAGTGGCTTTCAAAAATAATGGAAGCCGAAGCAGATTCGCGAGATCTCATGACACAGAAAACACATTCCCAGAAATTGTTATAAAGAACGAATAGAACATTTCGTTAGAGTAACTTCGCATCGAGCTTTGGAAGTCCATTAGCGTAGATGCTTTTTTCGTATGTAAGTTCGTCCCAAACTACGTCCAATCTCAAATATTTGTTGAAATTCCTCTGAGGAAACTTGACTTAAATATACTTTATATTTTTTCAAAATAAATTTTCTCTTTACTTCTATTCATCATTTATTTTACCTATCATTGTTAGAGCAATTATGTCTAACTACGTACGACTTACTGTTTTGTATCTGACTTTGTCACAAAAAGTCATATAGTAAATAAGGAAATAAATAAAGATCGTTTCATGTAAAGATCGTTTCATTTAGTCCATCCATCGTCTAGGAGATATTTCCAGCTCAACGGGATTTTCTCTCACGCTGGAAACTTCCTAAACAGATAATTCGAATTTGCCAAGCTCTCAATTGACAGGATAACGCAGACCGTTACGAGGTAAGAAGTGAGATCCACGGGTAACAATTTGGCCGGTACGTCGGCGTATCTTGAGAACTCTCATCAACAGCGAAATTGCAGCTACTTAGTAGTTGGGTGTCGAGTAGTTACCGGCGCTTAGTAGTTACAGTCAGTAAATTGGACGTCGCTAACTTGGCGTCGAATCAAACGCCCCTAAATCGACACCTACCAGCATGGGCTACCGATTGAGAGAGCAGTTTCAATCTCGGCTCGATAAACCGCCGATTCGACATCGATACCGTGTTAAACCGGAAATATTATCCTCGACGAAACCAATAAAATCAGGTTTTTACAAGATTAATTAGAAGCGTCAGCCAGACGCAATCGAGTCAATAGAAATTAGAGAAAGCTTCAAGCTCTTCAAGAGTTCTGTAGCGTAACGCGTTTTTCCCTTCACGACCAGACCGCGTCGTTTCGCGCTGCTTTACAGCGATGTAATTGTGGGCTCCTCGTCTGAAACACACGTCGAATGCTTTCGCGAAATAGAGGTTTGTTCCGCGTTAGATAACAGAAATGGTTCACGAAGCATTTTACGAGAAGCCAAAAAAGAAAAGAAGCGTCCGCCTCGCTCAGTAAAGAAGCTCCATTTCCGAGGCACGGATTTAAAGCGAGACAATAATGGCAATATAGGTAATGTTCCCAGCTCGAAAATAATTAAACATTGTTTGGACGAGATCTTATAAAAAGACTTGATTTGCCAGTTTCATTTATTGGATCGCTACAGAGGATTTTCGAAAAATTTGTCTCTGCCCTTAAGTAGCCCCGGGTGTCATGTTTCCCGTGAGGGAAAAGAATTGGCAAAAAAATCCATCGGTAACGTATTCGAGAACGCCGCGGCCCATTCGTCTTGCGATTCCCCAAACACGGCCGGGGGATCAAGCGCGTGTCACGCGACGATCGAACGATCTAAGCGTTCTAAGCCAGTCCCGTTCTCAGGGAATCCCGCTATTTCTCCACCGGGGAAGAACGGCGGGGGGTGCCGGTGAAAAACGACGCTACCTGTCCGAGGAGCAGCCAGTCGCCCTAATCGATCGGCTCGGCTCGATGGTAACCGGTAACGCTTGGACAAAAGCGGAGTTTCCGGGTGTCGTGGCACGATCAAGTGTTCCCCCGTTTCTCGAGACGCTGAAAGGAAACGACGCCGGAAAGGGTGAGACGGGGGGATCGCGAAGGGGAAAATAGAGCGAGAAGCGCGGTGAAAGGGGATCCCGGGCATTTTTCAAGGGGACACAATGCCGAATTTACATTGTCAAGCCCGTGATAGCAGAAAAGAATCGGTTTTATTCTGACCCACGGTTTATATCTAATGTTCCTCCTTTCTTCCCTCCTCGACCATACCCGAGCAGCAGCTTTCAGATAAATTAATCCGCAAACAATTTAACATTCAGTCGAATAAATTCTGTCTCTGTTCTGTCATAGAAACATTCTATTTTCGTCTCGACGTCGTCTTCTTATTACGATCTTTTCGCAAATTATCAAATACTATTAAATATATTAAAAATGACAGGACGTATTATCTTATCTTTTCTCTATTAACCGGTAGGTTAATATTGTGCGGCCAAGTGCCGCAAAAGAAGCCAGATTACGCCTTTCGAATTACTGGGACACGAGATCAGGGAACTCGTAGCGTTCGCGGAAAAAAAAATGAGAAGAAAAATAGGAAAAAAAAATAGCGAGGAGAAAGGTAAAAGAGAACGAGCGAGCTCCACGTGCACTGGCTATTGTTGCGCCTCCGTGCCGGAAAATTCACACTGCCGTTTGCGGATCCTCTCCTCGCCACTTTTCCCGCGTCCCCTTTTCGTTCCTCTTTCTTTCGCCCGGTCCGCGCGCTTGTTTTACGACCTTGTAATTACGGAATGGTGGCCCGAAATGGACGCGTGCCTCGAATATTTGTACAACAGAATGGAAGAAAAAGCGGACCGTAAATCTTGAGTTTTCTCGTTGCCGGACGGATGGAAAACGGATACGGGAAATCGTGAACGAGCAGCACGCTTTTTCATCCGTTCCAGCTGGAGCCGAGCTGCATTCACCGTTTCGATATTAACGATATTAATCGCGGTTATTTTTTGTAACGGACGATAACGAGCGATATTCGAGTCATTGAAGAATCGAGGTATCGAATATTGTATGAAATAAACGAGTCGTTTCCGAGATAGATCAGATATAAGATCAAATAATTGTTTATCCTCCTAGGAG